CCCCCATGTGGCTGCAGTAAGATGAGGCTCTTGCCCTTAGGAGCAGAGTTTGCCCTTCTATGTAGAAGCTTCAATAAAATCCTCTTGCTGTTGCATCAACTGGACTGGAGTCTGGGTTCTTGGGGCGCCCACTGGAGACCCCCAGATTTGGGGGTCCAACATCTATTGTCCCGTTGAGCATCCTAGGGAAGTCCTGACAGCTGTTGCTGGAGCAGGACAAGGAGAAGGACATCAAGGAGCAGAAGCAGGAAAGCCACAAACAAGGGGAAGATGGACAAATAGCAGAAGAAAGTGGAGCTGGAGCCAAAGCAGGACCAGCTAGAGGAGGAGGAGCAGAAGGAGAGGCCGGAAGATGATGGGGTCCTCCTTGGCCATTTCTCAGTTGCTGTGATACAACACAGACCAAAAGCAACCTGGGGAGAAAAGGCCTTATATGATTCATACTTCCAGTCCATGACTGAAGAAAGTCAGGGCAGGAACTCAAGGCTGGAGTCTAGAGAAAGAAGACTGAGACAGAGACCATGAAAGACGCTTCTCACGGGTTTGCTCTCCATGGGAGGCTCAGCTGGCTTTAAACACAACCCAAGGGTGGCACCACCCACTGTTTTGTCCTAAGGATTTTTACCTTTCTTTCATTCTATGTATCTTACTTTCCTCTGTGTCTGGCTGTCTGGTGGCTGCCTGGCTTCCCGCCCCAGGAGTCTCACTCTCTTTCTTCCTCACTCTCTGCTCTCTCCTTCTTTTCTTCTCTCCTCCTACCTATTGTCTCTGTCCACCAGCCCCACCCATCCCACTCCTGCCAAGCCATTGGTCTTTTAGCTTTTCACTAGATCAATCAGGTGCCTGAGGCAGGCAAGGTCAAAAAATGCAACACATCTTTACATAATTAGCAAATGCAGGAAAAAATGTAACACATCTTTACATCATTAAGCAAAAGACTCATAAACAGATGTAACACACCTTCACACAGTTAAAGCAGTATTTTACAACATACACAAATGTAACACAACTTTGCCTAGATAAGTAATATTCCACAACATCTCTCCTCATATTTAAGATGGACAAGTCAACTCAATAGGAGGAAACAGATCCCCAAGGCAGCAAAAAGAGTCAGAGAAAGCTCCTGATCCCACTGTTAGAAATCCCCCAAGAAGACCAAGCTTTACCACCATAATATATGGAGAGGGCCTAGGTCAGACCCACACAGACTCTCTGATTGTTGGTTCAGTCACTATGAGCTCTTATGAACCCAGATTAGTTGATTTCATGGTTTTTCTTGTGGTTTCCTTGATCCCTCTGGCTCTACAATCTTTCCTCCCCATTTTTTGCAGGATTCTTTGAGGTCAGCCTGAGGTTTGGCTGTTGGACTCTGCATCTGCTCCTATCAGTCGCTGGATGGAGCCTCTCTGATGATGATTGTATTATGCTCTGCCCCTGTCTACGATTACAGCAGAATATCATTAGGAATCATTTCACTCACTTGGTTGTTTGTTTGTTTGTTTGTTTGTTTGTTTCCCCAGTCCTGTGTGGTTCTGTCCTAGCTAGCTCTTTGGGCTACTGAAAAGAAAAACTCAAAGGATTGCTCCTCTCAGATTATATGATAGTATACATAAGCAACCCCCAAAATTCTACTAGGGAACTCCTACCTGATAAACATCTTCAGGGAAGTGGCCAGATACAAGATTAACTCAAAAACAATAACAACAAACAAATAACAAAAACATCAGGCCTCCAATATACAAATGATAAATGAGCTTAGAAAAAAATCAGGGAAATGACACCCTTCACAATGGCCAGGGAAAATATAAAATACCTTAGGGTAACTCTAACCAAGCAAGAGAAAGACCTGTATGACAATCACTTTAAGCTTTTGAAGAAAGAAATTTGAGAAGATATCAGAAGATGGAAAGATCTCCCAAGCTCATGGATTGCTAGGGTTAACATAGTAAAAATGGCCATTTTACCAAGAGCAATCTACAGATTCAATGCAATCCTCATCAAAATTCCAACCTACTTCTTTTCATACCTGGAAAGAACAGTACTCAACTTCATACAGAAAAGCAAATAACAGCAACAACAAAACAAAACAAAAACCAACCCCCCGCCCCCCAACATCCCACAAGATAGCTAAAACAATCTATACAAAAAAGAACTTCTGGACATTCAGGCCCAGCGGCAGCCGGCAGAGACATACAGGCCCAGCGGCGGCCCACAGAGGCAGACAGACCCAGCGGCAGCTGACAGGGACATACAGGTCTGGCGGTGGACCGCAGAGAAGCTTTTGCAGGGCAAAAGACACAGTCAATAAGACAAAAAGACAGCCAACAGAATGGGAAAAGATCTTCACCAACCCCACATCTGACAGAGGATTGATCTCCACAATATATAAAGAACTCAAGAAA